TGTCCCTGCTTCCACCTACTGTAGGTCATTGTGTGTAGGCTTCAAAGTCCTGTTCAAAAGTCTACAATTCCACTGGAAGAGTTGAATGGAGTTGCACATGTAAAGGCTGGAGTTTCAGTCTGATTGCTAAGGCTTGCTTCTCCACTTCTGCTCTGTACCTTCACCTCTTTCATATCCTCTAGGTACTGGCTAAAGACATAACGCAAACTGTAGCTGCTTCCAAGCTGTATCTGTGCTAACGAGCCAGCCAGTACCCCCTGGCCAATTGACCAGTTCATAGGTCCAACAAAGGCACACACAGGCCTTTCCTTTCTGCTCGAGGAAAACTCTTTCACTGACATGTCTTCAGGCTTACAGACATATGTGTATAACCTTAAATGTATAACTTCACTTTCTGAGCGCATTGAAAATCGAACTATTTTCTACATGATGAGATTGACACCTTTGGAGTGTCAATGAACAGACCCTTTGCAACATCAACAGTTCTAATACAGTTTCTTGTATTATTAACATATGGTATGGTGTGTGGTGTAGTATGATATAGAATGACTTTGTGCATAGTATTTCCTGGGTCTGGACAGTGCCCAAGCATTTGTTCATCAGTCAATGAGAAGAAAGGAACCCACACCCAATTTTTATCTCTGCTTGTACAGCCTTTCCAAAATGCTTTCAGAGAAAAACCCTAAGCAACCTGGTCTCATCAAAGTGCTGGCCTGCTCTGAGCAGAGGTTTGGACTGGAGATCTCTGGAAGTCCATGCCAAGCTGAGCTATCCTGTAGTTCTATGATTTGCTCCCTTACGAGACCACAAGATGTAACCAGGCATTGTCCACAGCAGTTGCAACGTTACCATTCTTAAAAGTATGAAAGTCAGGAATGGGTTGGGTGGGAAGGGAGAAAATTCTAGTACAGCACAAAGTGAGGCCAAATTTGGACCTTAGAAATTAATGAAAAAACACTTACCTGCCTTGAATTATTTCAAGAGATTGTTTTATTCCTATTTAAAGACAATATATATTCCTGGAAGAGGGGGAAAAAAAAAAAAGAGAAGGAGTACTGTTGTGGCAGAACATTACACAGGGATCAAAATGAACCTCTATTTTTGTGAGTCATGAGAGATAATGCTCTTAGCCAAATATGCGAAGGGAATCAAAATGATGGTTGTGAGAGAGCTATGAAATATATACGCAGTATGTGTACAGGATAATGAATTAAAGATGGAAAAAAATATAAAATCTATTTGATGTTCATTTAGATGGTTTACAGATTATTTGACATTATTCAGTTCAGATTTTTCTTCTGAATATTTTATTAGATATGCTTCCCTTGGGTTTTCTTATTGGTACGGTTGTTCTCCAGGGCATTTCACCTTCTTCAAAGCATGTTTTTAGCCAACAATTTTTACATCTCTTGCTTTCTTCTCTGTTTAAAATATTATTAAAAGAAATTGACCCAAACAAAATATTCTGAAAAAGAATGAGTTTTAGGGAGTCCCCACTAAGAAGACCTTGTTTTTTCCAATTTAATGTAAATTCAGTTTCTTTTGTCCTGTGTCTATCATTACAAGTTTCAGTTGTGCCACCATTCCAGTCTGTCATCAGGGCCACATTCTGACCTCAGCAATATTGGTGTAAATCCAGAATAAATCCACCAGTCTCAGTGGAGCTGCTCAGATTTACACAAGGAATCTGAGAGCAGAATCTGGCTGTAGGCAAACTTTCTGGAGAGACAGAATAACCATCTTTTATTAATATTTCACAGCAGTCTGCAATTGAAAACAGTTGCCTCCCTCTCTCTCTTTTTGTGGGGGTGGGGAGATTATTGGCTGAATCCTCTGAGGGAAATCCTACAGGCTATTTTTAGCAGTAAGCTCTACTGCATTGTGGTATTGTACGAAGCACATGTGCTGTATGACAATCAGCCACACATCTGAATTACTTGCACATCCTAAATCAATTTAGATGCTTGCAATAAAGGAAAACATATATTTTAGTCTTTTCTTAAGTCAATTAATCCTGATAGAAATAAATTTTGCACTCACTGGTGTGAATATCATCCTATTTAAAAGTTTAGATGTTTCTGCTATGCAATACTGACCTGACCTGATTAAACTGATTTTTGATTCAGACAAAATAATTCACATACAATGAAATTGCATTTTTAGTTTCTATTTTGGGAAAAATGCTAGTGCACTAAGAAAGGCATGTTTATGTCAACTGAGGAGGCATCTGGAATACACAGTTTCAGCATTTCACTTTGAAATCTTGTTTAGTTACAACCCTGGTATAGGCCATCAGAAAGTGTCAGTATTACATAACATCTTGATTCTGTGTAATAATAAGATAGTAAAATATATATTTTTTTAAATTCTATTACCTGCAGTTTGGACTATGCAAACCTGATCCCATGGGGAGCATTGACAATTTGAATAAAACATTCATTGAAAGAGTGACAGGCAATAGATACTTCAAACTTTCTGCTATTTTCTTAACATTTAAGAAGTGTTTCCATTCAAGTACATTGAATATAACTGTGTACTCTGCCTAAGAGCTTCTGAAAATCCTCATGCATGTACATTTAGCACCTAAACACCTTCTTTGTTGGGCAAGGATATGGAGGGAAAGTTTTCTTATCTAATGGAATAATGACTACTGACAAACTGTACAATCTGGGTATACAATAGACTGTGGAAGTTAAAACTTTGGGTGCCAAGGAAAGGAGAGCAGGTATGTGAGCACACACTTATTTGTGTGTGTACTTGTTTTTTCAAATGACTTATAAGACCTGATGATAGAGCAGCAAAGCTTATAAATGGTGCAGTGCAAATAACTGCAGAGAAAGAAAATTATTAACCATTTTGACAATGCCAGCAAAGATATTAAGCCACATTAGTTTATTAGCTCCAGATTTTCACTGGTTCTTTTTTTTTTTTCTTTAAAAGAAAACAAACCAATAAAGTAAATACAAGAATTTATTGCTAATGAACTGTTTTGCTTGTTAGGTAATCATTTAGCATAAACTTAGTCATGCTTCACATATGTATTATTGTTGAATTCTACTTATGCTAAACATAATTGTTGTGCTATCATTTTGGCTTAAATATCAAGATCCCAAAGGATCAGTTCTAAAGTACATGAGCTAAGAAATATGGCAGCATAAATATTTCTAGAGCAGCATAATTTCTGGCTGGCTTCTAACTGAATTATCTCAGAACCTTAACTTTGTATTGCTCACAATGTATACAGACTCTTATTAAGTATTTTAATACTTTATTAAAGTTTAATATCCATTCAAGAACTTTGCTGAATATGGGCGGTGTTGAGCATGTTGCTGAATCTGGACTTTAATTTTGTATTTTCTTCACTGGCTGACTGTTTCAAAGCAGGCTAACACAGTTTTCCCAGAACTGTGTTGGCATCCACAGTAGTGGTGGCACATAAGAAAGAAGTTTTGAATGCCAAGTTTTTCAGCTTGGAGAGATTGTTAATTTGAGTTCCTTTCAACTCTAAGGGGAAGAAAAATCCAAATGTTTCCCAAATGAAAATGGTTCACAGGGGTAAGGAAAATATTTTTTGTTCCAGACATTTTTGAGGGGAAATGCAAACAACAAGTAAATAAATAAAAACGTTTTTCAATGTTTCAGACTTGGTTTGAAAGCCTTGAAAATTGAGTTTAGCTCAAGCCTACTTCGTAAAATTTCTCTCCCAATACACAGCTACAGACCAATGTCATATTGATAGCTATTCTGTATAAAATTGTTCTGCCCTTGAATAAATGAGCATAGAAAATTAAAAAGGACCTTGCATTGCAGTCTAACAGCAGGATTTAGTGCTAATTGAGTACTGGGTGGAACTTTCCTTTTTAATGAAAATGGACTCTGGCTGCCACTGCTGCAACTCTCTGAAACTTTAATCTGATACACTTTGAGATCTGGAATTTATATAGTATTAGGTAAGCTATACAAATACAGAGTGGCATTGTCATTTCAAAATTGATTTTAAAAGGTTTTTCTGAATTATTTTCCTCACACTGCTATAAATATATAACCTTTTCTTGTTATATATAGGTTAACAACCTTAACTGACCTAACTAGCTAGTGAAAAAGAAAATAAGTGATTCAATAATAGGACTGAATTTTTTTAGCCATAAAGCTTTAACAAGACACTACACACTTTTCTTTCTTCTTTACAGGCAATTTATTTATTATTATAATATCTTGAAAATGCCTTTGTGCCTTATCAGTATCACAAGATGTACCTTCTAAGTCAAAATTCAGTCTCCTAGGGGAAATGGGAATTAAGATCCAGAATTTTAGCTTGCTCTAACTGTGAAATAGAATCTAGTTCTGCTATAGTATGCATGACACGGAAGGGTACAACTTGCATTTGTTTCTCATACTGTTTCTTATTCTGTCTTTGTGCTGAAGGTGTTGTCTATGACAGTCTGATGCTGAAGCACCAGTGTATGTGTGGCAACTATGCTAATCACCCTGAACATGCTGGAAGAATCCAAAGCATCTGGTCAAGGCTGCAAGAAACTGGGTTGCTAAACAAGTGCGAGGTAATAAAAAATAAAGACCAGATACTTGACTTGTTAAAGTAAATGGCAAATTTTTAAAATCCTAAATCTGTCTTACTTATGTAATAAGAGAATGTTTTGTCTTAGGAATTATGTGGACTTAAGTGACAATATTGAAATAATGCACTTTAGGAAATCACACTTCCCAGTAAGAAAACACAGAATGTACATAATGAAGGTAATTTACCCACGTGTCAGACCATAAAATCCAGACATGACTGTGTTCCTCACCTTGATATAGGAAGGTAGACAAGCAGTAGTCAAATGGCTAGTGCAGTCCTTTCAATAGCTCAGTTAACTTTTTCAAGCAGCTAAGGATCTTACTTCTGTAGTAGCATAAACACTGTTTGGTTTTTTTTAATGTAGTTTGTATCACTCCATAAGCACATTACATCTTGTCTTACTTCAGACTCTAAATTCTGTTTTCATAGCTTTTTTGTTTGTCTGGTGTACAATGGATACCAAGTCAAGACCTGAGACATCCAAGCACAATCTTCTAGACAATATCAGAACAACAAGGGAACTTTCTTGTGCTTTGATTTCCCTCACAAAATTGCTTATGAAAACATCATGCTTAAATAAAATATGGGCTCTGAGTTTCATGTATGACTTGGGTTACTGAAAACCAGCCTTCCTACCATTCACTGCTTCCCATGAGTTGTGCAGCACTGTCAGCTTCTGCAGAAGTCTGTGGCAATTGAGGGTCCTTACTGCATTGCAGCACAAGTTAACAAAGTTCAACACAAATTTGCTTATGTTTTTCAAGATCCCAAGATTGCCAGGGCTCTTATACTCTCTTCTCTTTAATCGCTTTTCTTTGTATATTTAGGTTTTTACAGACCCAAGGGAATTGGTACAATAGGTCCAATAGTTAATTGATTAGCTATTAATGACTGTCCACAAAGATTTTCTGCAGGTAGCCTAGTGTGCTGGGCAGTGCGATATTGCAAGCACTATAAATGGATTTGTTGTATACGCTCATTTAACTAGAGGGCTCATTTAACTCTAACAGGCTAATGTGGTTTTATTTAGCTTGCATAATTTTTTCAGTCTTCAAGAAGACTTTCTTTCTGCAAGTCCCTTAAAGCCACATATCACATGAGTGGGTTCCTTGGTGGGATCACATACTTAAGGAGTGCTAAACATGCAGCTGAGTGCTTTACCAAAATAAGGCCTAGTTAGCTTATTGACTCAGGATCAATATTATAAAGAAAAGATTAAAAAAAGGGAGAAAAAGTAAAACACAATGCACTACCATGTATTAGTTTCTTCCATAATAAACAGGTATTGCTGCACAGTAAATTGTGTGGATCTGGAAGAAGGTGTAAATTGGTAAAGCAGTAATGGTTAGTCTGAAATACATACAGTCCAGTAATCTTCTGGAAGATTTAAAGTCTCCTCTTACAATTCTGCAATTTCAAAAACTGAAATATAACCTGTTAGATCTCGCAAAATCCTGTGAGTGGGCAAAGGAGAAACAAGTCACATTATGTTGAATGGTATTCAGTTAATTTTGACTCCATTTTGTGTTTTAAAATGAGGCTGGAATGCAAAACAAGCTGTCAAAATGTAAACTGATGATAAAACTTTGAAGAACCTCATTGTGAAGTTGGTGTATAGATCGAGTGTTTATCTTGATCCTCTTATGTAGCTAAAGATGGGATTATATTTGATAGTGCAATCAGTCCTTTGCTTCACTGAGTTCTCTAGCACTTGCTTGACATCAAACACATCCTTATATTCTGCTCACTTTTAAAAATAAAGAAGGATGTGGTGATTTGACTAATTGATGCTTTGATTCTTTAGAAAAGTTGAGTATATGACTCATATCACTAAAGGAATGGTTATTGTATTATTCAAGAAATAATAGGCCACCATGAAGCTGCATTCTGGAATATACCAGACAGAGGAAGTGGATGTAAAGCATCACAGGCAACTCCATTGTCTTTTTTTACTGACTTCCACATGGACATTAGTATTTATCGATACAGTTACTCAATGTAGTTTCCCACAGGTTCTGTCAGAAAGAGTGAGGAGATGGGGGGAGAACACTGGTCAGGTTTAGCCATGTCCACTGCTGCATGTCAGAAGGGCATCTTAGGACCAGCAACTTGCAACAGCCACTCAGGAAATCCTCTGCAGTAACTGGGAACCTTCCTTTTTTTTTCTTTTACTGAAACAATAGTACCACAATAAGGCTCCAGTCCTACTCTTTTTCTAACGAGGAGTTTCAAGATCATCACTAATTCAGTCAGAGGTAGCTCAGATCTTGTTACCTTGAAACGTGTGTATCCTTAGCCACAGGCTTGTTTAAGGCCACCCTTATTTTCTTTATCTAACAAGAAACCTTAGGAAAATGCACAACCTATGGCTCTACAATCTTTGTTATCTATACAGGGAGCAAAACATGTTCCTAAATCATGTGATGTGGATTAACAGTTGTCACACAGCTCAGGTCTGTGGCTCTGGAGAGCTGACTGGCCAAGTGCACAGAGAGCCACCATCTCTAACTGGGTATGGAATGATGGAAGTTACATATACTGGGCTAACACTATGCTTTCTGCCGTTAATAGATTAATCAAGGTAGATTAATGTAGACTTAATCTATAACCTATATATATATTGTTCATATTGCCCTCATATATAGCATATTTATAATATAACTTTGTAAAATCATAACCAGGTATCCTGGTTTTGGCTGGGATAGAGTTAATTTTCCTCCTAGTAGCTGATACAGTGCTGTGTTTTGGATTTAGCAAGAGGATAATGTGATAACGCACTGATGTTTTGGTTGTTGCTGAGCGGTGCTTATGCTCAGTTGAGGACTTCTCAGCTTCCTATGACCTGCCAGTGAGGAGGGGCACAAGAATCTGCGAGAGAGCACAGCCAGGACAGCTGACCCAAACTGACCAGAGGGACATTCTATACCATGCAACGTCATGCTCAGTGTATGAACCAGGGGGAGTTAGCTGGGGGGGAGCGATCACTGCTCAGGGACTGGTTGGGCATCAGTCAGTGAGTGGTGAGTGGTTGTGGTTTTTCCTGTGTTTTGTTCTTTTTGTTGTTTTCCTTTCCATTACAGTATTTTATTTTTTATTTTTATTTCAATTAAACTGCTCTTGTTTTAACCAACAAGCTTTCTTACTTTTGCCCTTTCAATTCTCTCCCCCATCTCACCAGGGTGGGGAGGGTGAGCAAGTCACTGTGTGGTGCTTGGTTACCAACTGGAGTTAAACCACGACACAAGGTTTGACTGGGGTACTCAAAGCTGCACCTTCACTGCAAAATAAAATATGCTTGGGACTGTTCTCCACCACTGTGGCCAACTGGCATGAAAGGCCCATGTTCATACTACCAGGAATGCTCCCTGGCTCATGCCAGTGACCAAACCATGTCTGGGAGGTGTCTGGGAGAGTGCTAGTTGCTGCTCAGCCAAAACAGTGTGAAGGACCACTTTAGCAGTTTAACAGTACAGATGATTGCGTTCCTCTGCCTGAGAATGTTTCCTGGCACTGCTTAATTTACTGCTGTAGACACAGCCAAAAGGACTTGCTTCTCCAGACTATATTTTGACTTTCTAGCCGTAGATATTTGATCTCTAGAGTTATTCAAACAACTTTAGAAGATTTTTGCTAAATTGAGAAACTAATTCTATCTTTTGGAGTTTTTTTTTAATCACATTATTCTACCAAATAGATAGATTACTTCCCCCATTGCCTTCCCAAAGACAAGCGAGAAACAATCAGATCATGGCCAGTCCTGGAGAGTGAGATTTGAGAGACCAGTCCCTGACTGAGTCCAGGGCAAGAGAGTGGAGTTAATATCCACTCGTAGTGGACTTTTTTATAGTCCTGGTATATATGTATTGGGAAAATAAAATTCAGGTTTAATATTCTTAGATTCAGTTAGAAGTTTCATGTATGTTTGCTGAAATACCTATTCTGTGTTTGGCAAAGGCTGACAGATGTAGAACAGATGGCTATCAAATGCAGTACCAGAATAGGGCAGCTAAAAGATGCAAAGATTGACATAAAAACATTCATTATCTTTTTTTTTTTTTTTTTCAGTTTTCTCCTGGTAAAGAGCAATGCATAGTTGCCCTACTTTGGGACACAAAAAAAAAGAACTAAATTATGTTTTGGTAGTGGTGTCTGCTTTCTACTTTTTTGAGGGAGAGGAAGTATTTGGATAACTCCTTTGGGGCCATAATTTATGCACACATGACTGACATTAGGCAACATTGATCGGCACAGTTTTAGAAAAGAAGAATGTAGACATGGTCCCACTTTGTGCCCCCATCTCTACTTCCTGTAGGGACTGTGGTCCAGCAACATTTTTCTTTTCAGCCTGGAATTTGATCTGAATTTTGGTAGCTTTCAGGATTAGGGAGATATTTTACACCTCCTGCTGTCCACATCTCAAGGACCGAAGAGGAGAGAAAGAAAGAATTTAGAGATTTAAAAACCCTTGAGTCTGCCAGATCACATAGACTGAAATATATGAAAAAAATCATAATGCAGGAGAATTAGTCCAAGAAGACACTTTAAGAGTAAGAATAGAACATACTCTGGTTAAGCACCTGAAGACCAAAACACATTAAGAGAATGAATGCATCTCTATTTGGGTGCATCCATGACAGAGATATGCTTGCAATTCTCACATAATGGAAAGAGAGCAAGTGATGTGGGTGTACTGAGTGGCAAAAGATCCATATTACCTATGTGTATTTTTAAAACCAAGAGAGAATTTAACAACAATGAGAAATCCCAGAATACTAAGAAAGACTCTGAAGGCCTTGTTTACAAATTAGATGGCATAAGGAAATTTCAGAAACATTATCTCCATACAAATAGCTGCAGTAAAGGCAACAGACACCTTAAACTCAGAGGCTCATATGAAAAATATTGCTTAAGCTATGTCAACAATTCCTTTTCATTTAGCAGAAAGAAACAAGCAGTGTCATCTTCGTCTTTTCGAATCTGACTGTGCAATGATTTGGTCTGCTGAAATTCTAACCAAAATCTTGAGGTTAATAGAGTTATCTGTGAAACTTTAATGGTCTATTTTAAACAGAAGACCAAACTAGGCAGTCCTCTTTGACCTTAATTTCTGTGAAAGGTGAAAGTATATTCCCATTGTGGGAAGAACACTTTTCTAGTTCTAGACTGATTTTTGAAACACCCAGGTGCAGTAGGTCGCTTCTCTGAGGTGTGGAAAAGTCTCCACGTCTGCATATGTCAGAGGAAAGATCCAAGATATGAATTGTCATGCACAACAGAAAAGGATGGATTTCCTTCTACTAAGGATGTAGTAGATGGATGGATGTAGTATACAAGTTCTCCTATACTATTTCTCCTTTCTCATTGACCTTACGCTAATTTCCTGCTTTCCTCTGCTACATACTAGTTTTGACACTATAATGGCAGATGAAAATTAAGAAAGACACTTTAAAATGAAAAAGATGTGACAGAAGTGGGTATGTAAAATATACAAATGTGTATGTTATGTTATGCAAATGCATATACCTGATAACTCATGCCAGTGAGAGCCAGAACTTACTGTTTTGCATAACCGAAGTTACACTGTTCCAGATTCTGGCACATAACATGTGCTTTTGTAGATCTGCTAAATCCTGACATCATTGTGTAAGAAGAACTGTTCTAAGCAATTATTGCAGGTAATTTTTAATATAAGTTATTTTTTCCTCTGTGTAGAGTCTGATGGCTGGAATTTTAATGTTATTTCAGATGGCTTGACAGGCAGAGATACTGCAATGGTGGTTGAAAGGAACAGTAAATGAGGAGGTGGGAATGCGGAAACAGTACAGATGTGTGCACTGTTTACCCTTCACTTTCCTTCTGCCATTTACTGTGTAAATGTGCTTGCTGATACTCAGGGTTAGAGCTGGAGATGCCGTGGAGGGAATTCTTCAGGAGCCCTGCTCTGGGATGTTCCTGCCCTGGCAGCCCAGCAGTTGGCTGTGCCCCAAGGACCTCTCTGCTGGGAGCAGCCTGGAGCAGGGCGTCCTGTTTGGTGCCATTTGATTTCTGCACCAAACCTGTTTCTGCACAACCTGTTTCAGCCCTAAACAATCTGGCTGGCAATAATGGGTAGTAAGTAGCTCCTTGGCAAAACATTTTGGCCACTTGCAGACCCTAATTCCATAGGATATCACAGAGCTCCCTGCAGTAAGAGTAACGGCTAACTGTGGGCCTTTTTACAGTTAAAGTGATATGGCACTTAACAGCACTTTAAAAAGAGCCAGGCAATTAAGTCTCTTAAACATCCCTTAAAGAGTTTCTGTATAACTTGTAGAAAATATATGACCAGAGAGTGAGTATTTTACTCAAGGTTCTTTGATGTGGCCTTCATAAAATACCTCTTTACTTTTCTAACACATTCATTTTAGGTGTCCTAAAGGCCAGACTCCCTTCCCAATTTTGCTGTGGAGAATTGGGTATATAGATTTTAAAGCAGCTTATTAGAAACATAGACCTTAATGAGAATGGATGAACAAGTAAATGTTACCGGTCACCTCACTTGTGAAGAAAAACATTTTATCTGACCCAGAAGAACCATTACAGAGTTTACTGACTTTGTGAAGTAACATAATGTGCTGATTTTGATTGTGCAACTGTGTTAAAAGGATGTGAGTGCCCTGCTACAAATTCTCATGTGAGACTGGGAGAGGCTTGAAGAAATTAGAGATGAAAAAGAGCTTATTAAGTCATTTAGTTCTTGGATCATTCCCTAAAATGTTTTTTCCACTGCTGTGTCCAGTCAAGTTTTAAACACTGCAAGAAATAGGGCTTCCACTATTTCCCTGAGGGGGAGCTTGTTCCACAGTCATCTAGATCTAACTCTTAGGACATTTTTCCTGACTAGTCAGAAAAAAAATTGACACTGCTTAACTCAATATAAACTGTGCGTAGTTATTCTGACCTGCCCTAGGCAGCTCCTTTCTCCTACAGTGCACATTCTCTTTAATATTTATCATATTGCTTTTTTCTCCTAGTTAAAAGGTTGGCTTCTAATGTGCATGAGTAGGTGGTGGATATAATAAGAATTACAGCTTAACCTTTAAGAAAACTGGAACTGACTGGTATTTCTGTAACAGGTTGATCACTCTATTAAGAATAGGATGCTCTATTTAGATATCTTCTGTACCTGTTTATCTGTACACCTTGACAGTCAGACACACCCACAGCCTAAGCTGTTAGAGGTTTTGCCCCAGGTGTTCATAAGGACCGGCTATGCAAATAGAGTCCAAGACCAAGGCTCTTTTTCTCTTTACATTGTCCAATATCAACAGGAAAGATGATCTTGGGTCCAGAACTTTGTTGACAGTGCTGTTTATTATGCCCAAAGCTGAACAAAATCTGTTTCATGCTGCTGTGTCTGCAAAGGCTGTGCAGCACTAGCACAAGCAGAGAAGTAAATATTCAAGCTGTAACTCCAAATACGTACAAGGAACAGATCTGCTGAATAAGAATGTATTAGTTTTATCTTTTCTTCCTTCTTTTCCTATCTTCCTTCCTTCCTAACTGATTAAATTTCAGTGGATTTATGGAAAGACATCCAAGATTTTCTAACACTGATTTAAGCGGGGAGAGTACAGGCTGGAGAAACTGTTAAGAAACAAATTCCACATACAGAAATGTAAGGAATTAAGTGAGTCAGCATGTGTAACAGCAAAAATGATCTTGGGATATTGAACATGCATTAAAAAATAAAAAGATATGGAAATATTTTATTAAAGCATTTAAAATTTTATTTTCTTCTCCCTGGCTCTCCTCACTGTGATCATGTTCTTCCTAGCATCATAAATCACAAGAACTGGTAGTAATGCAAAGAACATTAATCATCATTCAGAACACATCTGCAGTTTACAGGTGTGAATAAGTTTTTGGTCTTTAAAATAGAATTTTTCTGGACAGTTTTCTTACTTAAGAAATACTTTACCTTTTGGTTTGTCTCTCTTATCTCTTTAATGTAGAAAAGAGGCAGAATCTTTTCTTTTTCTTGTATGTGAAACCCTGTGTTAAGTTAACTCTGCTAAGGCTTAAGTGGAGCATTTGTGATAAACCACACATGCATTTGTTTTTCAAATAGCATTACTTTAATAAACAAATCAGTGTCACATTCCTGCATGACGCAATTTCAACCCATTATTAATCATACTAAATGTTATTTCGGACCTTTGCTGCTCTTTTTTTTTTTCTCCCTAAATATTGTCAGTGGAATATTGTAGGCCTCTGCTGTTTTCTTTCAGCGAATTCGAGGTCGAAAAGCCAGTCTGGAGGAAATACAGCTGGTTCACTCTGAACATCATTCACTGCTGTATGGCACCAGCCCCCTGAACAGACAGAAGCTGGACCCCAGGAAACTCCTAGGTCTGTACAGGCCTCTATTCTACTGAGAACAGCACATTCCAGCACTGTCATTAGTCATAGCTGGTGTCAGTTTAAAATACTTGGCAAGCAGTGTGACAAAAATTCACTTTTTCCAAATGCATTGCTATGTGGAAGGAGAATGTTACAATGGAAGCCAAATATAGATTAGCAAAATGCACAAGCTGGAAAGCAGCAATAGACATTTCTCTTCAGTCGCTTCCAAAATCATTGAATTGTTAACCCTTTACTGTAATTTGTTCTCCATCAGAGGTCAATGGCAATTTTGAACATGGTTGGTCTTCTATCTCCTTGTGTACTTTGATTTGAAAACAGGAGTTTAAGATACACTTGCTTGTCAGAATTGTTTGTTTGCTGTTCTCATGCGCTTTATTTCAATTATTTCAACCATGCTGAGTGCAGATACCATGCCTAAGTCTTGTTAATAAGTGAACTTTATTTTAATGCCTTCACATGATGCAGGATATGATATCTTTCCGAATAATAGGGCTGGGGGGTGGGGGTGGGGTTGGAGGGAGGGGAAGCAATAGGGGAGAAACACATTAAAATATTAAATAGACCTATGGATGTACAAAATAGCAGAAAATGGGCAGGATTTTCACATCAAATATCTTCATGCACAGCCAATGCTCAGTGTATGCTTTTTATGATTAAAAAAGTGGAGTTAAATTGAGCTCTGCTGTGAGAGTAGCGTGAAGCAGATCTACTTGTCAAACCTGCTACAGAGAATGGGAAAGGAAACACACAAAGTAGTGCATTTTGGAAATAATCTGTGAGTGAAATCCTGCCCTTTATGTCCCAGCACACTGGATGCAACACATTCTCAGCTATTTTTATAACACTTAGAATAAGATGTGGAGCTTTTTCTACGTGTAATGAAACCCAAACCAAACAAAAATGATACTAGCCATCTACACTGCCACATTCTAGTAATGCATAGCAATTATTTTGCTTTGGAAACTACTGCAGAGTTCCTTCTGTAAGGCAAACCGTTGCTTCAGAGAGTCGTAAGGGTAGATAAGAAAAATATCTTGATCACATAAGTTTATACATCTTCTTAGCCAAGGCAACATCAAAACAAAATTACTTACAGTATGATAGATTCTCAGGAGCTTGAATTTCCAATGTAGGAAATCCTCCTTAAAACCAAGTGTTTCCAAGAAAAAATTCTAAATTCCTGCAAAATGAAAATCTGGAAACATTGTTCAACATTGTCAAAATGTTTTATTTTTATAGTCAAGCATTTAATATTAATTTTGTTGGCTTTGAGTAATTTAATTTTAATTTTTACATTATTTAATACAACATTCATAGGTATAAAATATTGTTCCCATTTCGGATGTCAGTGGTTGACCACTATATAAGATACATTGTGTAGTTGCAGCTATGAGGTGAAGAGAGGAATGGACTCAAATATCCTTGTTGTGTTTCTGCCTATATACAGAGAATGCAGAAAGCCTTGTTTACCTACTCTCAGACAACCATTTCTTTGTCTTGAAGTTCTTTACTTGACACTCTTTGCCTTTTTCACTTGACACTTAGCCCAAAACATTTGTTCTCTGAGTTTATGTCAAGATCAGACTCCTAGCATTTATTCTGAGTTTATCCTTGGCTTATTGCCTTTTTCTGTCTCTGCTTCTAGGATGTTTTCTAGCTGCTTCTCACATGCCCTTTTACCAAGACAACAGTCAATGAAACCTTCCCACATGCTTTTGCATGTGCCTGTTTTTTGGCTGGAAGCTCTAATCATTTGAGTTTCCAAACTCTTCAGTAAAGGAACTTAATTGTCTCTTATATTTTTCCAAAATGGATTGTGACGGTTCCACCTTTCATTGTCCTCAGTTCAGGGAAGTTGAACCTAACCAATCCTGACATTAAAATTAACATCTTGGTATAGTATAGAAATTCAAAATGATGTGTAGCAAAGAAGAAAAATCTAAAGGAAATGTTTCTTATAAAAAATGTCATCAATAACAACATCATCTTATAAAACATTTCTATTTCAATGAAAGTACATTTTTTTGCTACATAAATTGTTCCATCAAATTATGACTTTGAACCCTAATGAAAAGGAGGCCCTACCCATTCCTTCCCTTACTCTTCTACCCACCCAAAAAGACAGAGACACTGTTTATTCTCCACTTGTGCGCTAGATAAAACTTTTGTTCCCTGTCCTTGTCCAGAAGAGCATATCTGCAGTGTCTGAGTCTTTTTTGGTTTATGGGTTTGGTGTTTGTTTGTTTGTTTTTTAATTAACAAGCAGTTTCTTTCAGACAGAAAAGAAACACGTGAAGGAATTAAATTTAAGTACAAGTAGGGCTAGAAACATGCTACTTGCCAATAAATTCTTATTTCAGTGTCCCTGTTCAGGAAAAAGACTATTCTGGAAGACTGCAAAGCAAAAGGGCTATAAACTACTGAAATCAGTGAGAACTATGCACACAGTTATAGTTCATGTATTCTTAATACTTTTAGAATATAAATTTGGCTTTATTTTCCCTGCATCAGGGTCTACAAATGCAGCTATTGCAGATCATCACTTCAACTTCTACACTACTGTGTAGTTAAGCTTTTGACCGATCTTATTTCAGTGTGGTGTGTTAAGCAGCATGTTATGTTGACTTACATTGTCCTGACATAGAGGAAACTAATATGCAGACTGTGTGTCACATCACATTACAGTTTCATGTGACAGAATACGACCTCTCAAACCTCTTTGGATAAGCTTGAGGTCAGAACAGTTATCTGACTGGTCTTACAAATTTGTTTGCTTGTTTCCTCCCCAACCATAATTAAGAAAGTGTTGCTAAAAATCAAGCTTCCAATGATTACAAGTTTGTAAAAGTGAGAAATATACTGTCAACACATCCCTGAGAGTGACACAGTATTTAGAGTACAACTAAAAGATGCATTCATGGAGCATATGTGCAATTGCAATTCCAAGTCAGTGAAAAAATGACGACTTAGCAGAAATGGCTTTGTTGGTGAGGGATGATACTGAAAACAAACAGCTTCCTGAAACTGACTTTCCACAAATGAAGACACTTTTTAATTTGTTTATTTTTTTGAAAGGTAGTTTTTCCTCATCACTTTTCTTGCTCATCAGACTCCCAGTCCCCAGTTGTCAACCTCCTAAGCAGCTTCCTTGAGCTGTGCAGGGGCGCCGACCTCAGTCAGTGATGGCTGCCTCAGCACCTAATTTGACAAACCAGCTTCTACTGCTTTTTGGGTTGAAATCTTGGAATAGAAAACTTGGATAATTTTTCTAGCTCTAACAGTAAATTGTTGTGCTGAATCATCTCTAAAAGATCTTTCTCTGAAGTGATTTGCTGATGACTGCAAACTCTGACATGCAAAGCCAAAAAAAGGATCATTTAAAATTTGTCTTCTAACCTACTTGAAGTATCCAAATATCTTTTTTATTATTATTATAGAGGTATCATGGAGTGTGGAAAGGTGTTACTTGAAAATGACTGCTATTTACCAAATTCTGTTGGGGCATCAACTCCAAACATCATGGGAAATTCTACATCCATTCATTTTCAGGGTTTGCTTTTTGCAATTGATTCTCATCTATGACAAGGAGTGTGGTAAGCTCTTTCCTTTCGGCAGGGCTAGGTAAGTGATGGTCTCACATTCTCTTGATAGAAACTTTCCCCACTCTTCATGAAATCTCAATGCTTTTCTTGTTCTGCAGCCTGTTATCTGCTTTTCTTAACTATCGTGCAATAAGAAGTGAGTATCCTGTCAAGTTTCTTGGTACACTGAAAAGGCTTCATGCTTGTTTCCCCACATTTTGCATACTATCTGTTGATTGATTTTAGTGTCCTTCTTCACCATCTGCTTTTCTGTTTTTACTCTGTTTGTTGTTTTTAATAGTGTTTACCATACACAATGTGCCCAACTGCAGGGAGGTAAATGAGAATTCATCTGTTCTCTCATGTCCCAGCTCTGCAATGGAATTTAAGAAAAAAGGTCTGGTTATTCATTATTCTAAAAATGCCTTCTTTTATCTCAAATCACAGCTTATGTTTCCATTAATGTCTCCTGGAACTTTAACAACACTAGTTTTTTAGTTACCTGTGCAAGACCTTTTGATCTTCCCCACAATAAAAAGTGAAAAATTGGTGTTTGCATTGGTCCCTGGATCTGCTTAGCAAGAAATCTGGAAACTCCTCCTGTACTTCTGCTCTGACAGTCTCCTGCAGCCAACATTTCCTTGCATGTCTGGGGCCATTAGGACTCACAGTACGAGAATACTCTGCATAGCTGCTGCACCTGCATTTCCCCTGGTAGCTCCACAGGAGGTTTTGTTTGGCTTCTCTCACACACTGTGCAAACTGATCAAAGGCCTCTAGTCAGTTAAAAATACATCTTGGATTTTACTCAAAGTATAACGCACTTTCTTCGTCCCAGACCTTGCATTCTGGTCTCTCCTACTTCAAAGATGATGGCTTATAATTGTCTTTATACATTTCATTGGCACCTGCTAAACATGAGTAACTTCAGCATTCGCCCCTTCCATAACAATAGGTGGCTCCTCTAGGTAACTTGAGTGATTCACTATCTAACGTTTCCTCCAGATGGCAAAGTTACAAAGCCAGTTCTGTTGTAAGGCAGGGGAAAAGCCTTGTGTTCTCTTCCACAGCTGTCTTAGGATCAGATTACATACTGGGATAGGAAGTGCATCAAATCCTGAGATCCTTACCTGGTTTTCATATTGTCCTTATCAAGACAAACAGCAAATTTAGTGGTTTATAAAATAAAACACATGAATGAATAAAAAGTGAATATAAATATTAAGATAAACCCTATCACATTATCTAATGTGTAGTGCAGAGTCATTTAGAAATTAGATTTCAAAGTCTGAGAAGTTTTTGTTACCTTTAGTGGAATATATTTACAGAGCAGTACTGAAACAAGTAGTATTTTATGTTTTTAAAATCTTAACATATTCATTGATGGTATGTAAATGAACAGCATTTTTGCATATATAGGAAGAATAAGACTGCAGTTTTCCAAGAAGAAACTTTTTGGAGAGGTGAAGTTAAGAAATTAGTCATCAGTTTCATGTAAGCTTAATGAGGTTCCCTCTGTTGTCAGTGAAAAGAAACAGGCGCTTCTCAAGTATAATTCATCCCATCAGTCATCTAGGCTGTATAGATGTGCTTACCTCACTCCACTGGCTGTAGAAGAAGCTGAGATGACTAGCTTAGACAAGCTGCTTATCAGCTACAGATGCTGGGATGACTAGTTGCCGTAGTTCAGAGTGACTTTCTGTGGGGATTCGATCATTATAATCCTTTGAAACTGCTGCTTACCAATCTTAAGATTTGTCACTGTTGCAAAAGAGTACCTGAAATTTTCCATGGCTGATATGCTTTCTAAGTACCATTAATATTTTTTATTCTAATATATGGCATTTTCATTGTGATACTGAAATCTGAAATATTATAACGAGTGATTACTGTTCCAGTATTTAAATGTAATTTTGATAAATTATGCTTATTGCTTCTTTTTTTTCTTTAATATATAGGAAACGTGTCTCAAAAACTCTTTTCCTTGTTGCCCTGTGGGGGACTTGGGGTAAGTAGATGTTTGGATTTTTGCAAGATGGATGGCACACAACACATATTCATTCATGAATTCCTTAGCACTATTGCATTATCAGTTCAAAGTTTCAGAAGATTATAAAAAAATGTAGAAATGAAACCTGAGCCATTATCATATTGTGTTTTCAATGGCAGAGAAGACAGTACATTACAATAAGCATATGGAACAGTTAGATAGGAACGTATTTTGTGGTATTGTGTATGTTTCTTCATTGTCCCACTTAGGTTTTTTTTCACGAGCTCTATTTTTGAGAAAAGTTACATGAGTGCGATTGATATAGCAGAAAGAGCTTTGGAGAAGCACTTTTGTCTAATGTTGAAAAATAAATATAGCTTCAGATTTCTCAGAAAGAACAAAAAAATTATCAAAGCTAACATTTAGCATGAGAAGTGTTAAATGGTTGTTGTTAAACTAATAAATTATTTGAGCATTTTTATGTCTTATTTTAGAATGGATTCATTCTGAAATACAAGGTTGCAAATATTAGTACGCAGTAGACAAAAGTCTGCAAACAAAAACCTGTTGCAACACGAGGTAAAATAATTAATCTAAATTATTGAAAAACATGTAGAACGGAGAATTTCTGCTGATGTTGGTATCATGCTCCTATTAAATTCTAGTGAAGATAATAATAGGGAGAAATATTTTTTCACGTACAGGGTTTTTCATTTACTGATGTCAGCAATATCAAAGTAAAATAATGATATTAGTAGATACTGATGGGCTGTCTGTATGATGCATATATATATATTTTAGTTCCCTTCCACTGTTTCTGAGTATGCAGGATAAAGCCACAATCTCTGGAAGTTAGCTTCCGGTGCAAGCTTCAAATATTTTATTCACTTTTATACTTCAAAAAGATAAATTCCATACCATACTAGTCTTGTTCGTAGAGGTTTGGTTGGTGTTGGGTTTGGTTTTTTTTTTTTCCTTGGGGTTTTTTGTTTGTTTGTTTGTTTTGGTGTTGGGTTTTTTTTTGGGTAGGGGGGCGGTTTGTTTGCTTGGTTTGTTTTGTTTGTTTCTGTTTTTTTTAATTATGAGATACCTGGCTGGAGAAATACTTGTTTGGTAAGGTTTTAGCACACAGAAGAAAAATTCCATTCTAGGATTCAGTATTTAGTAATATTTGAAGATTTCTGAACTATGAGTTAAGGAACAAAGTTTCAGGAAGTGGTAATCATTCCAGCTCCTCTACTGTGAATTTAACTTGCTGAGGATTCTGCCTAAAATTTGGAACTCGGTGACTAGCAACTTGCTAATTTTGAAAGTTTGGGGTCATTATTGTATGTGGATCAGCTAACATTAGGCACTGACATGTAGACATTCATGTCCACATGCAGCTCTCTGCACTACTGTGTGCACATATATACACACACATGCATACATGCACACATTTCTGTATAAACAAAGGTAATTTTTCACCTTGTGGTTGCAGTTATTATGGAGTTTAGAGAAAATTGAACAGAAGGTGAATAAAGTTGAGAAAAAATGTTGTTCAGACTTTGAGTAAAGAGAAGCTGATGTAAAATTTCTTGACAAATCTTTCTGAGGGCTTTGGAAAGTGAATAGGCATGTGGTATATTTTGAAAATTAAAGTATAAAATTTTCTATGAAACAAGTTATTGTGGTATTAAAAAAACATGAATAGAGATGTGCTTTGAAATTCTTTCACTGATGAAAATATGTTATCTATTCTAAAGCTAATGCAAGTCAGAAATGCTCAGTATAATTTCATTTTTTCAAGAACTTAAATTTACCTACACTTTTTTGAGTCTGTTTGCTTTATTTCTTATTTAAAATCATGGAAATTGGATTAAAGAACATGTTGTAGAAATTGATCTTTTATTTATTTTTTTCTAGTTGGTTTGCCTTTCTACATATTATTATTGTCAGGCTTGCTGTGGGGCTCTTTTAAGGGAATGGGTTATGACCTTTTTCAAGGTAAATAATCAGATTAGGAGCTCTCTTTCAGTGATATTTAGCTGTCTATTGGTTAAGATGAGCTCTGCAAAAGGGAGCTGCTTCAAACTGTGTGGAAAGCAGGTCTTAATTTACTTTCAAACATGATGTTGGAAAGAAAGAAACAGCATTGCTACTTAGTAGGTTTCAATTTGAGTTTTATAAAGCAGTAAGAGTAGTTCATGCAAAGATTTCAAGGAGGGATGGAAAATTTTTTTTTCAAATTTTTGTTCTCATTTATTTTTTTGCTTGCTTGCTTGCTTACTTGTTTACTAAAGAAAACAATGAGAAAGTATTAAGAGAAAAGAAGGCTTCCATTCTTGCAGAGACTTTATGGCTGTCTCTTGAACAATGGCTTTCAGAGCTCTTTGATCCTATTGTCTTCTAACCATATGGGAACGTTGCTGGCTGTTATTATTCAGCTCTTCTATTATTAAATGGATTTGTGGTTAGACTACTCACACAGAGAATGAGAAACCTAGACTGATTCCACTGTCAGGCTGGATTTAATATTATAGCCCCCATCTCTTAGCAGATGTTGTTGCCACTGAGGGTATCATAGGTTGTTTCTGGTTGGGGACCCTCACACCACACACTGAAGCTGTGCCACTGTTGGAAAGAGAACTGTGCCAGTAATATAGAACTTAAGTAAGATAACGCCCATGTATTTAAGGCTATCACCTACCTATCATGCATTTATAAATAACATGAAATCCTACATCTGAGCTCCTGTTCCACAGCTTATATATTTTGCATGACAGAATCACTGGAAAAAATGGAAACTGCTCTTGGAGCAAAGACTGGAACATGGGACATGACAGACATTGAAGACAAGATCAGCTGATAGGCTATGAAGACTATATCGGCATGAGTTTAGGACAGCTTGCCTTATTCACAAACAAAAGTCCGACTAACCTCTGTAACCCTGATTTCTACTGTATTATTGATTTTGTTGTTGTCTCTGTTCTAACAGCACCAGTAAATCCAGTCAAGATCAGGGATCCTCTTCTTTGTACATTACTCACGGAAAATCTTTTGCAACAATTCTGAAAAGAAATGAGAGTCAGTGTTCATAACCAATATTTTCTGATCTTGTTTCATCATAGCTTTAAAACTTTTGTACCAGTGAAAAATGCATATAAAGCTACTGTTTAGATTTTCTGTAAACATTTTCCATCCATCTGAATTTTCTTTCAAGTATGATAGGGGCTGTTTATGTCAGGATCATTGGTCAATTTAGCTTAATATATGTTAGGCTTTCAGAAGAAATCAAACAATAAACTTCATAGTTTTACAAGAGGCTATATAAGTAATAATTAGCTCTCTTATCTAAAAGCACAAAGTTGTTTCATACTGACAGCCAAATTGAATAGGTCTCGCAGAGAGAGAAATAAAAGTTGTCTAAATGTAACTTCCTAAATTTGCCCATAACAGGTTTTCTTTTAGTGAAGGTTAATTTTTTATCAGATGACAATCCAGAATCAGCAGTATAACATCCACTGAAGGACGTCCCTCTAGCAATAATGCTTTTTATTTTTTTTTTTTCAAGCTTACTGAGGTTCCAGAACCAGCTGTTACTAAAGAATGCTAATACTGGGGGTATAAAATTCCTTGTGTTGGAGAGAGACTAGCAGCTCTACAGCCAACAATTTTAATAACAAGAGGTGGTTTCTTGCAGCTGGTCAGAGGTTTGGAATGTGAACAGTTTTCCAGGAGAGGTGGGTAGATTGCAGGTGAAGTGTCCAAATGAGGAGAATAATCACAAATTACTTTTTGGTTCTGCAGATTATCATACTATTCCACAGTTTTTCTTCTGTAAACATCTACTAGAGCTGTAACTGACCATTTGATCAATGCATCCATCTATTGCAATTCTTCCCCTTCTCTTGTGCTGTGAAAATGACAATAAGAGAAGCAGAAATCCACTTCTAATGGGCAGAAGTTTCATCTCCTTGCTTCAATCTGTCACTAAAAATAGTGATTGTTTTCCTGCCTGCTTGACCTGCTGCTGTGTGAAGAAATCTTGAAGTCATTTCTCAGCCGTATTTTTTGTCTAGTTGATAGGCAAAAAACCCCACAAAAGCAAAAGAAGAGCAGGCTTTTATGATAATATCATCATCGGCTCGCAGCTTCAAACACTTCTGCGGCTTTTGAATTGTCATTTATAACTTGGAACTGAACCGACCCGTAATTCCCTTGATGCGTTTAGAGAAATTGATAACAGACTGCTTCTTTTATGGCTCAGAGGAGGCAACTCCAATCACATCACTATTGGCAGTCAATATTATTTTCTGACATGGTTGTAAAAGTATAAAGGGGCTTATGGCATTTGTTTAGATGAGGAATGGGCTCTCAAGCTGTGCTGGGGTTTATGGGTCCAGATTACTGAGAAGCAAAGGGAATATGATGTTTGCAAACAGGATATGATTTTATTTAAGTTTGGGTTTCATACGTTGTTCCCTGGGGATTGTCCTGCAGACAGAAGAAAATTTCACTTTTATCATATGAAATTGGGCAGTCATCCAATCCCCCCTGCTCTCCCTCCACCCTCAAAAGACACTGCTCCAAACCTGTAACGTGTAAAGTCAGATCTTTAAATTGCAAGAGGTGGAGCTGGGGGAGATCACCATCCTGAAAGAAATCAGACTTTGGCAGAATAAATATTTAGTGAGCTGAACAGAATGTAAAGAGAGAAAATCTTCCTACATTTTTACAAAACTTACAAATTATTCGTATTTTTTGAATGTTGAATTTCTTCCTGGCATTCCTTGCTGTGGTAGCTGGACAGCACTACTTTTTGTCCTGACCACACAGGAAGAAAAGCAATAAGAAAGGCAAGATTTCACTAGTACATGACTTCAGTAAGTCATCCAGGCAACAAGTTGTTTTCTGCTGCTTCTCAGATCTTCTTCTGCTCCTTCCCTTGATCTTCTCAGTCTGGGCCCAGGAAGAATTTTCAGCCTTTACACATTATGACTCTTCATTCCTGTTCTTTGTACAAGAGCTAATGGTAC